TGTCAAGCACATTGAAATTTTGAAAGCAGAGAACATGTTTGAGCTGCTTTATTATTATTGGCACCACCTTTAGTTAAGGATACTCAACCTTTTCTATTATAACACTATGTTTTCAGTTGCTTATAACTTTGTCAAATCTTTTACTGATGAGGCTGAAATTTCCTATGCCAGGTGCTTGTTTTAGGCAGATATTTTTTGAGTTTAGCTAAAATTAACCATTTTCAAGAACAAGATTATGGACAAAAGTAATCTGTTCATGTTAAAACAGTCTTACAATGGTTTAAGAAGCTTGAGCATGTCCATACTTTGGACTAGGGGCTTGAAATTTGGTGTGTGTGAGGGGAGGATATCACCTTGGTTCCAGGGATGTACCCTTTTATGTTCCCATGAAAAATTGGCTAAATTTGACTAATTTATAAGCCTTGGGGTGTGTGTGTGTGTGGGGGGGGGAATCTGTTTGCACATGCTCTGTAGAGGCATGTTGGACTTTGGCAGTTAAATCTTTGAAGATTTTGTATGCATATGGCATATTTCAGTCCTGGGGCTGGGGAGGACTGTCCCTGCAATTGCTGTTCCTGGCTGCTGAGGGCCACTATGACCCTAGGCACTGGACCTGAGAGTAGGGAGACTCTCTCTTCTGTGCTCTCAATGCCTACCCTGTTGGTACCTAGGCAGCATAGAAAGTGCCTGACTGAGGGTACATCTACACTACAGCGGGGAGTCGATTTAAGATACGCAAATTCAGCTATGTGAATAGCGTAGCTGAATTCGACGTATTGCAGCCGACTTACCCCGTTGTGAGGACGGCGGCAAAATCGACTTCTGCGGCTTTTTGTCGGCGGCGCTTACTACCACCTCCGCTGGTGGAGTTAGAGCGCCGATTCGGGGATCGATTGTCGCGTCCCGACGGGACGCGATAAATCGATCCCCGAGAGGTCGATTTCTACCCGCCGATTCAGGTGGGTAGTATAGACCAGACCTAAGATGTAAAAAGGAGAAGACCCAGACCTGGAGATGTGGCAGAAGGAATATACTGGGACAAGGATCCATAGAGAAGGACTGGGATTTTGGGGGAGCCACGGTATGGTTGGGGCAGGGTGGATTGAAAGGCAAAAAGAGAATGGACAAGGAGGGAGGAGAGACCATAATTGGGTGGGCAAAGAGACTGGGACAAGCCTGTTTGAAGAGTGAGATTAGGTGGCTGGGGTTGGGGGAGAAGAGATGGAAGGCTGAGACTGGTTAGGCAAGGAGACTAGGATAAGGAACTGGGGCTGGAGGGCACAACTGGGACTGGGAGGAGGAGGAGGAAAGACTGAGATCAGATGAGGTGCCCAGCATGGGTGACGAGTCTGGGGTAGAAGACTGGAAGGGGGGAAAGTATGAGATCAGAGGAGGAACTAGGTAGTGGAGACTGGGATGAGGAACCAAGGGAAGGGAACTAAGACTGGGAAAAAGTGGGAAGACTAGGACTAGCTAGCCAAAGTGACTGGGATGAGGAACCTGGAGATGCAGGAGAGTTGCCAGACAGAGAATGTGCCCAAGAGACAGGAGTGAGGCATGGGCAGACTGGAAGGAACAGGAGCAGAAGGGGGTCAGGATTGGAGGGGACAGGAGCAGAATTATGTACGCCCACTAGCCATGTTTCCTTCATAATCTGAAATGGAATCTAAGAAGATTCCTGAGTGTCAACTTTCTGCTCTCTGCAAAATATGTGAAACACACTGATATAGTATTCTATCTCCCTTTTTAGTGCTGGTTCACACAAAGGATGACAACACTACTACTATAATTTACTCTGTTAGGGCAAGTGGCTGAGGTCTATGTATTGGATCTAAAAGTTCCAACCCTGCTGACGAGGCATAGGGGTGTCGGGATGCTGCTGCATGATGTAATTTCTGGGCTTATTTTCAGTTTGCTTAAAAAAAAAAAAAACTAAGGAAATTGCACACCAAACCCCTAAATTGAAATAACATTAAGGGTTGCAAAGTCAAGCACTTAAAAGTTAGGAATTGACAGAAAAAAAGTGTTTCCCCCAGGCTAGCAAAATCAATTTTCTATGCTCCATGTTAGCTCCCAATTTCTGATGCAGGGAATATTTACATATATGAGAAAAAGCAGTGTACTCTTCTAAAAGGCTACAACATATTGCACTGAATAATGGAAGTAGCTGACATTTTCTGTTTGATCATAGCACTGAAGGATTGCGTTTATAAGGAATAATGTGAATACATATATTTTTCGTTGTTAATTAACAAAATTACATATCCCAGCAGTTACCTCCACACTCTCACTGTGTACACATTTCTGGTTTTCTACTGTTCGTAATTTTTAAGCTACAGAGGCTTTAAAAATGATGGCACTTATAATATGAACTTTTTAAAGGACAATTTTAATTTATTAGAACTAAAACTAATTAATGGGTTTACTTAAAAATCCTCAGAAAATTCAAACTTTACTCTGAGATGATGTGCTGAAGATTTAGGGTTGATTTAAAAAAAAAATCGTGAGGCATTCAGATTGTTAATGAAAATTTTCATTATGTCCAGTAAGGTAAGCACAGGCAGAGTTACAATGAGCATTGATAATTTTCTTCAATCTGATACAATAGTTGACATGGAGCCAATGGAAGGATTCAAGGGGGGCTAATGTGACCAAACTGACAGACAAGGAAGCTGACAAACAATTAAAAATAAATAGTGGTTTTAATTAATGCTTATGAATGCATTTAACTCAAGTATTTTGAATAACTTTCCCTAAATCTGGCACTTCTCAAGTGTCAGGACACAGTTAGAAAGTTTGATCTTGGGCACCTATCATACTACTTCAGAGATATGGATGTGATCAGCACTAAAAATGAAACATACCACTTAAAAAAACCCCAGTATTCTAAATAGTCTGTTCTTACTCTGTAATGTGCTGTGGCCTTTCCAATGCACAGTAGACAGGTTTCTAAAATTGTGAATTGACAGTGAGTTTGCTTATTTATAAACACAAGCATGGCCATACTGGGTCAGACCAAAGGTCGATCCAGCCCAGTATCCTGTCTACCGACAGTGACCAATGCCAGGTGTCCCAGAGGGAGTGAACCTAACAGGTAAATGGTCAAGTGATCTCTCTCCTGCCATCCATTTCCACCCTCTGACAAATAGAGGCTAGGGACACCATTCCTTACCCATCCTGGCTAATAGCCATTAATGGACTTAAGCATAATGAATTTATCTAGTTCTCTTTTAAATCTGTTACAGTCCTAGCCTTCACAACCTCCTCAGGCAAGGAGTTCCACAGGTTGACTGTGTGCTGTGTGAAGAATTTCCTTTTGTTTTAAACCTGCTGCCCGTTAATTTCATTTGATGGCCCTTAGTTCTTATATTATGGGAACAAGTAAATAACTTTCCTTATTCACTTTCTCCACACCACTCATAATTTTATATACCTCTATCATATCCCCCCTTAGTCTCCTCTTTTCCAAGCTGAAAAGTCCTAGCCTCTTTAATCTCTCCTCATATGGGACCCGTTCTAAACCCCTAATCATTTTAGTTGCCCTTCTCTGAACCTTTTCTAATGCCAGTATATCTTTTTTGAGATAAGACCACCTCATCTGTACGCAGTATTCAAGATGTGGGCATACCATGGATTTATATAAGGGCAATAAGATATTTTCTGTCTTACTCTCTATCCCTTTTTGAATGATTCTTAACATCCTAACTGCCCCTGCACACTGTGTGGACGTCTTCAGAGAACTATCCACGATGACTCCAAGATTTCTTTCCTGATTAGTTGTAGCTAAATTAGCCCCAACATTATGGTACCTTTCCTCATGTCAACTGCTAACAGTCGAGGCCCTGATCCTGCCAAACGTTTTTCAATCAAGTAATAAATCCAGATCACTGAGTGGAACTGCATATATGATTCATACCGGCTAATGTGGAGAATTTCTTGACATATTTGTATTTGTGTCCCTCAAGATGTACATTCCTATGGGCTAGAGACTGGTATATTTTGTGGGGCTCCCCCTACCTATCAAAATTTGGAATCCCTGATTACATTGCCAGAAGTTAAGATCTGAACCAGCATATTTTGAAGAAGGGCGTCTTTTGACATGACACGTTCTTCCCTAGAGCCACTGCCTCAAACTTGCTCTTAAAAACGAATTAAATATATCTAAAGTTTGATGGGTAAGTCCAATCATTCCCCATATGGCATTTAGGGATAGAATGATGCTAAGAAAATGAAATTGGCAGTTTATACACTTCAATCTGGATTTTAAATCAGTACTTGTTCTTCGTGTCTTTTGACTGACGTTTCCTTTTTGATGTCATGAAGTATGTTGCTACTATTGCTGCATGCCAAATGCAGTGCACTTAAACAGTCTCCTTTGCCAGTGTGTTGCTGCTTAGATAAACCGATGGGAATGGAGTAGCAAAATCATTCTGAAATAGCTTTCAGAATCATTATTTACATTAATATCAGTATTATTTGACCTAATACATATGTCATCAACGTCTAACAAAAAGGAAATGTTTGTTAAAGGTAGCATTACTAGATAATTGTCATTGGTTTTCGTTTCAAAGGTGCATTCATAAGAAGGATTTCTAAAGCACAAATAGCTACAGGAGCCAAATAAACTAATTAGCAATGCAGGTATTGCTTGAGGGTATGAAACACTTGTAGATTTATGTTATTGGCTCATCAAGTATGTGCGTGAGAGAGAGCCCTTATCTTTCCTAGGGTAGAATTTAGTTTCTCAACTCTGGCTTTTTACGGTTTGCTTCAGATTGCATTTCACATGCTTTACTGATTTCCACCTAACTTGAAACATTGCAGTATTAAGCAAAGGGGCGACTTGGAGACATGAAGCCGGGACGTAGTGTCAAAATCCTCTAAAATGCATGATGCATTTGTGACTCTCTCCTTCGGTAAGATACACGAGCTCTACACAGTGGTGATGGCGTTACCCTCCCCTCTCCGGTACGGTCTGTACCACAGTGGATGTGCGGCAAGAGCAATGGGCTGAGACTATCTGGCTTGTTTCCTGAGCGATCTTCCACTGTACGCGCTATATAGCAAGGAGCACGGGCTTCCTCCCTTCCTTAGCCTTGCGGCGCACGGGCTGTGTGTTCTCCCAGGCTGCGCTGCACCAGGAGCCCGCTGATTCCCAGAGCCGCCTGCTTCCACCCCGGCTCTTGCCATCCGCTCGAGCCCTTGACGGACTTGGATCCCTTTTTGCGTCTCTGCGCCCTTCACCTGTCAGGAAGGCTGACGCGCCCCTGCCAAGCAGCCAGCGCCCACTGGCAAGCCTGCCGGCTCCTCTCCTGCCACCTTCCTGCCGGGCTCGCAGTCGGCGGCGGCAGCGCCCCGCGCCCCCTCCCGCGCGCTCGCACCGCCGCGGAGTTCCCCCCTCGCCGGTTCTCTCTCCAACATCAAAGTTTTCCTCCCTCCTCCGAGCCCCCTCCCCGCCCCCGAGCCCTTATTACTGCGCAGCCAGTGCACAGAGGGCTGGCAGCGCGGCGAGCAGATTACAGCGATTAGCTGCAGGAGAAGCGGCAGCGCCTCGCCGGCTCCCCGCGCTGACCCTGCCCGCTGAGGCCCCGGGGAGTCCAGGGCAGCTTCCCCTGTAGGCGGCGGCGAAGACGGGGATTGAGAGTCGAGCCGCGCGGCGCGACCCAGCAGCGGGGCTTGGAACCGTGCGGGGCTCGGAGCTGCAGCGCGGCTGAGGCTCCGCCGAGGTGGCTCGGGACCGCGAGGTAAGGACCTGCGATGCCGGGGGAGCCGGGGCTTCTCTCCCCACCCACCCCCGCATGTCTCCGACAGGTGGCTGGAGCAGCAGCCGCGTCCTGCCCGCCCGAGGGGACCATGGTGCCAAACGCCCCGCTGCCCCCCGGGCTGTGCGCCCAGCTCCTCGCCGCCGCGCCGGCCAGCCTGCCCGCGGCTGCCGGGCTGTAATGTTAAACACCGCCGCCCGTCAGTCTGCGGCTTGGCTGGTACTGAGCATGCTCCCACCCACCGAGCATGCTCACTAGCACCTGCTGAAGCCGCTGCGTGGACGCTGCCCTTACCTGGGCTTGCAATGTGAGCCCAAGGGAGGGTTAAAAGTGCTGCGGGGCAAATCGGGGGGAGGGACGGGCAGAGTCTGTGCAGGGCGGAGACTGACTCCACGGGGGATCAAAGAGCTGGAGGCAGGGAAAGGAGCGGGCCAAGGGTATGGGTTAAGTCGGGGGTACGGGCGCTGCCAAACGGGATCAGAGCAGGGGGGCAAACCCCCGGATAGGGAGGGGTAGGGGGTAACAGTCACCCAGATGAGGTGAGCCTTCTGCAGTGGCTGCAAAATGGGGTGTCGGGGGCAGAGGGGTTTCTCCACCCAACCTCTTCGGGACGCTGCAGCTTAGCACCGGCTTCCCAAGGCTGTCTTCTTAAGAGCACGGTGTATCCCAAAGCCTAGACACGGCAGCTCTTCCCTATCCGATGGGATGCATTGAGCTGCTAAAGGAAATTTGATTCAGTGAAATATTTTACAGATGCCATCCCCCTTTCAAAATTATAATAGTCATACATTTTTTAGTGTTTAAAAGAATCCTTTGTCAATTTAGATGACTGCATAAAGCTTCATAATGGTTCACAAATTTGTCTTAGCTGCTGTTCTGATTGTCTGGATTGGATTGCCTTTTTCTTGTAATCCACTGTGAATGTAGTTTCACTCCTTTAAATTATTTACCTTTTAAAATGTAATTTTTCATTATTCTTAGCACTTCATCATTTATCTTCATTAGCACTATGCAGATGGATGTCATTGTTCTACAGTATTTAATTCATTTTAATATTGAAACTATTAATAATTGGTAAGCAATCACATCTCACAGTGTTTCTAACATAGCACTTCCTGTTTGTATTGTGACACTAGTTTTTAATTCTAAATTTTTGTTCTTTTTTCACTTTTTTTAATACACAAGTTTATTCTTGCGGTTCATGTGACTTTAAAGCTGACTGATTTTCCTGGTTTGGTATCAAAACTTCTTTAGTTTCCTTTGATCCACCAATGGGGATTGCCCTTGGCAACTGTTGTTTTGCCTCTCTATCCAGCACTCTACTGCGTTTTCATGTCACCACCTGTGTATAGAGTTTGGTTCCCAAATATTCACCACAGGTCAGATTTTGAAAGGGTGAAAGCACCTAAAAATCCCACTAATTGCCTACATACCTTTAAAAATCTGTCCCAAGGAGCACTATACTGTAGTGTAGGAAATCTTTCTCAAAGGAAAAATTCTACTGTGAATTTTATTGAATAGAGGTATGTGACCCTGAGACATACTGACAACCAGAAGTATGAATTTTACACCAGAAAGTAATGAAATTAAAATAAATAAATACATACATTTGGGGTTCTTTAAATTTGCCTTTTTGTTTCTGAACCTTTAGGGTGCACTAGGTTCGTACATTTTCAGATACCTTTCCTAAAGAATCCATATACCTAAAACATTTGTACATTGCTATAACCTTTAATAGTGTTTCAGGCTTCCAGTATCCTGGGATTTTCCCCTCTCTCTTTGTCATTGAAAACTTATTAAAAACCTTTATTTCTGTAAGTAATTCCCCATCTTGCAAACACTGAACTGAACACGTTACTCTTTGATTACTTCATTTGTTGCATACATTAGTGTTGATTTTTCTACTGAATTGTTTATACTTCTAGTTGCATATTTTAATTTCCTAGCCTTTTTATGTATGCTACATGTTTTGTTATGATACATTTCAATGATGATCTTCATTCTGACAAGTATACTGTTCTGTACTGCCAAAACCAATGTCTGCTAAGATTAATTATCCTGTTACTCCTTTGCATTAGTTGCAGTTGTTCACCCACCTTATAGCAGTTTCATCTAGACACATATCCTTAGTTTGCGTATGAGAATGTCATCGGTGACTGTGTCAAAAACCTTACTAAAATCAAGATATATCACATCTACTGCTTCTTTCTCCTGCCATTAACCCTGTCAAAAAAGGAAATTAGTTTGGGTTGGTATGATTTTGTTCTTGACTAATCCATGCTGACTATTCCTTATAACCAGATTATCCTATAGGTACTTACAAATTGATTGTTTAATCATTTGTTCCAGTACCTTTCCAGGCATCAAAGTTAGGCTGACTGGTCTATAATTCCTGAGTCCTCTTTATAGAGACTAGGGCTAGATTCACAATTTAGGCTGCATTGCAATACCCAAACTTTTGCCAACCTAAACTCAATGGGTGCCAACATTTTCATAGTAAAATTTCTTTAGGTGCTTAAGCTTCTGCCTTTAAGATTTATGCTACTGCCTTATTCTAGGAATCTGGATGCCTAAATCCCATCTAACCCCAGAGTGATTCATGAACTAGGGAAGAGGGGGTGGAGATAAAGTTATTTTCGCATGTGGGGCCCAATATGGTAGGTGATCTTAGAGGCTGATATGAGATTGGGTCCCATTCAAAATCTGGCTGGATGAAGACATAGGTCACCATCCACCTTATAAATTCTAGCCTAGTACAGTAATTAGAGCACTTGTCCGGGATATAGGAGAACCAGGTTTGATTCCCCCTTGGAGGGGCAGGGGCAATTCGAACAGAAGTCTTCCCAATTCCAGATGAGTGCTCTAAACACTGGGCTAGAAGTTATAGGTGGGTACCACTCCCACCCTGACTGTTTTGTGTGGAGTTAGGCACCTGCTTAACTCATTCTCTCAAGAAACAGCTTAAGCACCTAAACTGTCTTACTCCAGGAGAGGGGTTCTCATTCGTGGATCACAAGGCAGAGCTAGATGCCTATCTGCAGCAGGGACTTAGGCACTGAACTCTGTGACAGGGTGGGGCTTAGCACAAACCCCTCTGGTCAGCATCTCCCATTGGCTGTTTTAAGCATCGCCCTGCCTAGTGTGCTAGCTTTTGTTGATCCCACTCTGAGGCATTTCTCCCCATTCATTGTATAGGGAGTTTAAGCACTTAACTCGGGATTTGTGAATTGTGGTGGTGTTCCTGTGACTTTCTTGGTTCTTGGAAGCTAGATGTTGTGATAATTGGGTGTTGCAATTCCTAAGTCCCTTTGGCCTGGTCTACACTGTGACTTTAATTCGGATTTAGCAGCATTAAATCGAATTAACCCTGCACTCATCCACACAACGAAGCCATTTATTTTGAAATAAAGGGCTCTTAAAATCAATTTCTGTACTCCACCCCGACGAGCGGAATAGCGCAAAAATCGATATTGTAATTTCGAATTAGGGTTAGTGTAGCCGCAATTCGATGGTATTGGCCTCCGGGAGCTATCCCACAGTGCACCATTGTGACCGCTCTGGACAGCAATCTGAACTCGGATGCACTGGCCAGGTAGACAGGAAAAGCCCCGCGAACATTTGAATTTTATTTCCTGTTTGCCCAGCGTGGAGAGCACAGGTGACCACAGAGAGCTCATCAGCACAGGTAACCATGCAGGCCGATAATCGAAAAAGAGCACCAGCATGGACCGTACGGGAGGTACTGGATCTGATCGCTATATGGGAAGAGGATTCAGTGCTAGCAGAACTTCGTTCGAAAAGACGAAATGCCAAAACTTTTGAAAAAATCTCCAAGGGCATGATGGAGAGGCCACAATAGGGACTCAGATCAGTGCTGCGTGAAAGTCGAGGAGCTCAGAGAAGCCTATCAAAAAACAAAGGAGGCAAACGGTCGCTCCGGGTCAGAGCCGCGGACATGCCGCTTCTACGCCGAGCTGCATGCAGTTCTAGGGGGGGCCGCCACCACTACCCCACCTCTGACCGTGGATTCCGAGGTGGGGATAATCTCATCTGCTACACCTGAGGATTCTGCGGACGGGGAAGAGGAGGAGGAGAAGGACCCTCCCAAGCCAGTATCCAAGACCATGACCCTATGGAAGGGACCTCAGGTGAGTGTACTTTTTAAAATATAAAACTTGTTTTAAAAGGAAGCATTTTTTAATGATTACTTTGCCCTGAGGACTTGGGATGCATTCGCGACCAGTACAGCTACTGGAAAAGTCTGTTAACGTGTCTGGGGATGGAGTGGAAATCCTCCAGGGACATCTCCATGAAGCTCTCCTGGAGGTACTCCAAAAGCCTTGCCACAAGGTTTCTGGGCAGTGCAGCCTCATTCCGTCCTCCATGGTAGGACACTTGACCACGCCATGCTTGCAGCAAGTAATCTGGTATCGTTGCATGACAAAGCCTGGCAGCGTATGGTCCCGGTGTTTGCTGGCATTCAAGCAACATCCGTTCTTTATCTCGCTGTGTAATCCTCAGGAGAGTGATATCGCTCATGGTAACCTGGTTGAAATACGGGAATTTAATTAAGGGGACAGAGGTGGCCTTCCTACTGGGCTGTTTGCCTGTGGCTGAAAAGAAATCCTTCCCTACAGTTAGCCAAGCGCGGGGGGGTGGGGTGGGGATTGGCCCAGAGCTTTTTGCGTTTGGCTAGCAGGGATCTTCCCTGATACCAGCCACGCGGTGGGGGGAGGGATAAAGCGATCATCCAGAGAATTGGATGCAGGGGGGGTTAGTTTGTTTTCTGTTGCTGAAGGTTAACAGGAAAACCGCAGCACTCAATGGGCTTTGCTTGGTATGTGGGAAAGGAGGGCACAGAAGCTGAAAGACAATCGCTTACCATGGCCGCATGCAAGCTGAATTCTGTTGCCCGGACCTGCGTCTGTGATCTCTAGCAGCAAAGCCACAGGCGCTCAATATTAAGAGGCAAAATGCGACCT